TGCTCTATTTTTTTATCAGTGTATTCTTTAGAAGCACTTAGTATGTCTTTGATTATAGTTATCACTAAATTTTTTAGTTCAAAAATAATTTCTGATCTTATTTCTTCTATACCTTTCTGCAGTTGTTTCTTTACTTCCAAAGCTGTTATTTCAGAGATATCAGGTGTGTGATTTCCAGTTTCCTGTATGCTAGTGTCTTCTGCAATTGTACTGGGTGGACTCGGGGCCCGAGACTGCATTTTGTTCCTTCTCTTCGTCATTTTGTATACCACTGTCTTCAGACCTTTGGTGTAGAGCTTAGATAGAGTTATTACCTTAGCACCAGGTCTGGATCTACTAAGTTCAGATTCCTCCAGGTGGGTGTTGCTTGCATCTGGCTGGGGGGTCTGGCTGCTGTGCTCCACTTCTTTCTGCTGCAGTTGAACCCTTTGTGTCACTTTGGCAAGATGTTCTGCTCCTGAATCAGCTGGGTGGGTCTTGTCTCTAGCCTCTTTGCGGGGAGTTTTGCTGAAGGGTTCCATACTGGGCCTGCACTCTGGGTCTATTCAGGATCCAGTGGTCCCGGGCGGTCTCACTCCCACGCCAGGCCTGTGCTCTGGGTCTGTTCGGGATCTGGCGGCCCAGGCGGTCTCAAATTTTTGTATTTTGATGATGAAAATATAATACTTAATTTAAATTTATAGTTTTTCTATGGAGGATGAGTATTTTTCAAGTTTATTAATAATTTAAATAACATGTAATTACATAATAAACATGAAAAGTCTAATTATCCCTGATGAAATGTTTGTATTTAATCTAAAAAGTAGCTACTGATTGACTAAGAGGCACAGGAAATATTTATCTCCCATGGCAACTCATGAGCTCTAGCTCTGAAGAGACCACTTATAGTCTGAAGTACAATGTGATTTAATAACAAAAAATTAGGCAGAGGAACAGAATTCATCCATGAAATTGGACATGACCCACTGATTATTAAGGCTGATGACAATAAAGTTATTATCTAGTATGAAAGGGTTTTTCTTGGTGCTGCTAGAAACACTGTGTTATTTTACCAAAAACAAGGATATATTATTGGCAAAAATTACAGGAGAAAAACAACCATCTCCTGATGTTGTAAATTTGAGAACTTTGAATAATACAGAAACCACATAGCTTCCTTTGGGGCTTTTTAGTTTTCTAGGCTGATCTGAGTTATTAGAAATGCTGAAACCATTCTTTATGCTGCCCAGTAAAGAAGACACTAGGCACATGAAGCTCTTTAAATTTCTACCTAACTTAAAAGTTAATATTTCACTGATATTAAGGTGGACTGCAGGTGAGCCCTGGTGCATGAGCTAGTGGCTGGCTCACTGGATGGAGCAGACGGAATATTTGCACAGTTGCACAAAGTATGTTCTGTTGAGCAGGGCTGCTGTGCAAGTGAGAAGCAGAAGTGGGTTTTAGTTGCTGGCTGACTCACTGCATTGCACGGAACTGGATTTAATCTACATGTCAAAGGGACAAATTCAGAGAATAAACTGAAGATGGCCGTGTTGTGTTAAGATTTGCTTCTCAGATTAACCTAACTTTAAAAAGGTCCATGTTAATTTATTTTAGCTAATTAAGAGAGAATTATCTGAAAGCTTTATATTTTGCATTCTGTAGTGCTTTATATATATTCACATCATTTGCTCCGAAAGTTTTAATCTGTAATTAAATATTTTTTCTGTAGGAAATACGCTCTTATTTAAAAAAAATTCTCTATTGTTTTCTGTGGTTATAAAAGTACTTATGATGAAATTAAGTCATATAGTTATTAAAAATAATTGTAATCTTACCATCTAGAGATAATCAGTTAATATATTGATAGTCTAGAATTTTTTATAAACATGTCTCTCTAGAAATAAATTTACAGTAATGGGAGTACTGTATTCTATAGTCTGAACTTCACTGAAATGCCAAATGCCTCTTTACATTAGTATATGTATTTGTCATTTCTACTGGTTGCATAGTATTTATTACCCTGTGAATGTACCATTATTATTGTTTTGGTCTAAAAACAATTTTTTTAAAAATGTGCTAGACAAAAGACCTAAACACAGGGGCTTGGGATATAGCTCAGTAGCTTAAGTTCCTGCCTGGCAAACACAAGGTCCTGAATTCAATCCCTGGTACCACAAACAAAACAAAACAAAACGGAAACAATAAAAACAGGTCTGTAGACTGGCAGTGAAATTTGACTCCACAGATTATGGCTGTGCTAAACTTTAGGGCAGACCACACAGCGGTTTGCTTCTCCAGGCCTGCGGTGCCGGCTCCCACTGCGCCAGCTTCTCCATCCACGTGACCCGCAGGGACAGCCCGCAAGTCCGCCCCCGCCCGCCGCTGTAGGTGGCCTCGTGCCGCCGCCCCTGCTCCTCCAGCCTCCGGGCACGCCGCCTCGGACCTCGGCAGGGCCGTCCCCTTCGGCGGCGCAGCCCTCTTCCTGCCCTCAGCGTAACGAGCTCGTGCACCGGCCGCCTCCACCGTCGTCTTCCCGGGCGCCACCCCGACCGCCTCTCCAGGAGCAGCCCTCGGGGCGGCCGGCTGAGGCGCACGGGCGCGCGCCCTCTACGGCGCATGCGCGAGGCAGCCGCTCTGCGGCCTCGTGCTCTGCCGGGCCCCACCGCTCCGCACCCGCGAGGATTTACCATTATTAAACCAGTCTTTTTGTCTGGGTATTTGGATGTTTTCAATTTATAGCACCGTAAATAACACGAATAAATAACATCTCTGCTTACATTTTTAAGTGCTTTGAGTTGGTGGTTTAGACTACTACTGACAAAAAGTCAACAGAAATTTTGTCAGGAATACACCAAATTTTATTTTATTTTTACACCGAATTTTAAAGGGTTGATTTTCTTTTGCAAATCTTAGTAACTGTACAAAGCTTCAAAAAACTAGACTCTAGAAACTGAAACTATCGTTTGACATTCCGAAATTTACACTTTTAAGAGAAAACAGATGATCTAATGTTTACCTTGCATAAATTTCAAGTTTGCTCAAAAAGGAAAAACAACAATTTAGTAATTAAGAGCTGACTTTATTTTTTCATTTTTATTTTTTGTGGTACTGGGGAGTGAACTCACGACCTTGTGCTTGCCAGGCAAGCACTTATTCTACTGAGCTATCTCCCTAGCAAGAGCTGACTTTAGAGTCACATTGATCGGTTCAGATACCAGCTCTGTTGTATGACCTTGGGTATACTAAGGGGAGCCTCAGTTGTTGCACTGGTAAAATGGGGTAAACAATAAATGGCGGGAAACAGCTACTTCACAGGATTTTTGTGGTAGACATATTTTCTAACTACAATATCTTAGTATTTTGTTTGGTTATATAACATTTTCCTTTATATACGTTAAACAACATTTATATTTTAAATGAAAGTGAATAAAGCAGGATATATAGTACCACATGCCTGTAATCTCAGCACTCTGGAAGGCTGAGGCAGGATAGCAAGTTTGGGCCAGCACAAAAAATTTAGAAATAAAAGTGAAAGTGCTGGAGGTAATAGCTTAGTGCAAAGGTTCTACAGTGAATGCCCAGTACTTGGGAAAAAAAATGAACGAAAGGGCATCTATTATCCTTCCTCTGGGATATCTTCTTCTGAGATAGCCAAGGACAGTGGTGGTGAGCCTATGGCCTGTGTGCCCCAGAAGGCCTGAGCCCTCTCTGTTGGTGAGTGAGCCAAGGTTTGACAAATTACCAGTATGCGTGCAGCAGCAAAGGTAACATGAATTGTGCACATGCACACCAAATGCAAACTTTTACCTTTCAGTAAAAAGCTATACCACTGAAAGCTCTGTTATTTAGACAAGATGTTAACATTTGAATTTTATTTAAATTAAAACTTCAAAACAAACCCACAAAAAACCCTGACACCTCAGTATTCCAGTTTAGTTGGGGTGTTGGCACTTTGCAACCAATAATGGGTTTTAGGTGACAGTTTGGACACTTGGTCACTAAAAGGTTGTCATCACTAGCCAAGGATATGAATTTTAATATGGCATTTATTGGCCAACCCAAGCAGCTAAATTATAAGCTTCACTATTTCCTTTAAATAAAGCATGCTACATGTTTTAAATAGGTCAAATTTGTTACAAAGGAATTTTCTGTAATATCGCTATCATACTAATGATCAATCTATTTCAAGTTTTACCTAGTAATACTTGGTTCTGTAAGAGCTGTGAATGTCTACAGTTCATTTTAACATGAAAAAATTTACAAAATTTTTATAGCAAAGCATAAAATTTTATAAATATTCATAAATATTACTGGAATGGATTTCTAAAAATGCTCAACTGCCAGAAAGAACCCAAAATAATTTTGATATTTAAATATGGACTAAAAAACTAACTTAGTCTTATAGCAAGAGCCAGGTGTATTTCTTCTTTCATTAAATACTCTGACCAGGGATCAAACTTAGGCTCTTGTGCTTGCCAGGCAGGTGCTCATGCCCCAGAACTATCACCCAGGCCCTATTTTACTGAATTATCAGATGAAGCATATTCATTTTTCCTGTGTATATTTGTATAATCTTATCATTGTTATGTGTTTGAGATTTTATTTTAATTTTTTTGGCTGAACCCAGGATTGAACTCAGGCCCTTGGCAAGTGCTTATTCTACTGAGCTATCTCCCTGGCCCCCCGTGTTTGAGATTTTAAATCACTGACTTTGGTTATAACTTTTACATATAACCTCAACAGATGTTTCTAAAATCAAGTCAATAGCTTTAAGAACCTAAGAGTTCCTACTTAAAGACAGACATTAACTAAATAATTTCTGGAGAATCTGAAAATGCTATTTAGTTATTTATTTTTGGTGGTGCCAGGCATCAAAAGCAGGGCCTCTCACATGCTGGTAAGTGTTCTACCACTGAGCCATATCCTCAGTTCAACAATTCTATTTTTTTGGGAGGGAGTATACGAGCTTCATTGAACTTAGACACCAGAGTGGAAATAACATCTGTAGAAAACCAAATGTGTTACCATAACTTCTGCATCACAATTAAGATCCGAAGTGTTAAAAACCGTCAATCAAAACCCACAGGCTTCAGAATCAATTCCTTCTTTGAAGCCACAGTAACATTTATACACGGTTAAGACTTGCATACAGAAATTTGGTTGGCTGGGAAACTAACTGAACTTCCAACTTGCTCTACTAGAATTACAAACGGCAAAATGGTGTTTTTCACAGATACAGTCCACTAGAATCACCTACACTGGACAGCTGTTAAGAGCAGAGTGTTGAGATAGCAAGGGATGCTGGCATCCTTTACACCGTCTTCTGTTGGCCTTTCTTCCCAATCAGAGACTTGTGGATATGTGGGATGACGCCGCCGCCCGCAATGGTCGCCTTGATGAGCGAGTCCAGTTCCTCATCCCCACGAATGGCCAGCTGCAAGTGGCGCGGGGTAATGCGCTTCACCTTCAGGTCTTTGGACGCATTCCCCGCCAGCTCCAGCACCTCGGCCGTGAGGTACTCCAGGATGGCCGCGCTGTACACGGCGGCCGTGGCGCCCACGCGCCCATGGCTGGTCATCCTGGACTTGAGGTGCCGGTGGATGCGGCCCACGGGGAACTGCAGGCCTGCCTTCTGCGAGCGGGAGACCCCCTTGGTCTTGGCCTTGCCCGAGTCCTTCCCAGCCTTCCCCCCCGCCATTCCCACCTCCGCCGAGGAGCAGGCGGCAGACAGTGAAAACAACCTGGCCCACCCCCCGCAGCGGACCCAGCCCACCCCACGCGGCGGACGCGGGCTGTTCCACCCCCTGCTGCGACTCAAACAGCTCCCAGCTCTGTTCTCAACAATCCAGGCGATATACACTTTTCTCCTAGGTAGTTTATGATGTCTAAACGTAAGCGATTTTAAACTCCTGATATCTAAAATATATTCTTTGTAATAGATTATCACTGCTATCTAGGGAAAAAGCAAAACAAGCAGCCCATGAAAAAGTGATGTTCTGTTCCTATTTTGGCCGCACTCCTTTTGAAATGAAAGGATTTATCTACCTCCTAGTTGGTTGCGTTCAGAGCTAAGATGGCTGGGTAAATAAACCTGGCTGACTGGCATCTCCTTGGACATATTCTGGAGGAAATCCACATTCACTCCACCAGGCCTGGAAAGATCTGGCTCATCATCCTCTTCATGTGTCAAATGCTTGCCCTGGATGTAGCAGCTGAAGATACCTAGAACGATGGGCAGTCGGGCTTTATCTGTAACATAAAAAAACAGGGTTGCAGAAATGTGTGCTAGCAACAGGCCTTTCCTATCTCCCTCATTAGATCCTGGATTCAGCAGGTTGTATTTATGTCTCCACCATCTCTGGTCTACCTACATAAGCCATCCTTTATACCAACCATAAGTTCTAAAGAAAGAGGTGCAGAGGATAAAAATTTAAGAGAACTGGATGGGGTACAGTTTGAAATGCCTGTGGATCAAAAGAGATTGGAGAGACAGCTTTGTTAGTTGGAACAAAGGAAACTAAATAAAGCTCCATTCAGAGAAACCCTGCCTTGCACTTATGTGTTACACATTTTCCCTTGCTCTGTGGTTAAGTTGGGTTCATGACTGGACAATGAGAGCCTCTATTTAAATGTCATGGCTCCTCGTGTCCGAATATATTGGTTTTTTTTGGTCTCAAGACAAAAAGACAGTATTTCTATTATTTATACAATCCATAATTATTGTTTTGCTTTTTCTTAAACATTCTAGAAATTTTCCACTTAGGTTTTAAAACTTAAGAGGGTCCTGGGAGTCAGTATAAAGTTAAGAACAAATACAATGAACTGTATGCAAACAACTCAAAACAAAAATCTGGCCAAGTATCAGTGTACATCTGAAAATTCACTGAAGCAACAAAGACACAGGAAAGCATACAGATATAGCAGCATCTTCTGCATTTCAGGCAGGTGCTGACAATCACAGTGTAAATAATGAGAAATACATTTTGGATGAACAGGAAACTAATGAGATGTTCAAAATTAATATTAACTGTAGTCACCTTCATTACATCAGCTCAAATAATAACAAAGACATAAAATATTTGGAAAAGAAGTTACTGGTAGTCACTTAAGGGAGAAGAGAAATTGATGGCAAAGAACTGTTTTAGAGGCCACAGTTTTAGTCTCAGTACTGCTATCGAAATAGACAACTACATCTGACAGTCACCCCACACAGCTTTCTCCTTGCATCTGGAAACCTTGGTGGCTTAGTGCTATGTGGGGTCTATCTATAGAAGGTGAAAACCAGGGTCATCTCCTAAAGCTAATCTCGAGGGCCAGTCCACAGAGGGTACAATCAGAACCCCTCTTTCCTCACAAGGAGACTCCCAACCTCAATATTAAACACTCTTGATTCTTTGGCAGAATTGTCTCTTTGCCAAAGTTTGTCAGAAATTTGTCCAATTGAGGAGTCTGACCATGCAACTTCATCACATTCTTTTGAAACACAGTCTCTACATGAAGTTTAGGCAGGCTTTGAACTCACCATAATGTTCGTCTGATGCTTTCAAGTGTGGGATTATAGGCACGTGGCACCTTGCCCAGTTTGGACCTACTATTCAATTTCTAGTTTTTGGGCCTTATTGTGATGCTCTTTGATAGTCTTTGGGAAAGCACATTGGCTAAAAGAAACAACATGGGTGAACAATGTAGCTCAGTGCTAGAGTTTATGCATAGGGTCCTTATTCGGACGGAAAGATTTGGAAAAAAAAATGCCAAAATACACGACTTGTGATCTTTAAAGAATCTGGAGAACTGAGGATCCAAAGAAATGAAACAGGAAAAAAATGAGTAGAGGTACAGTGCCCATCTTCTCCAACTCAATTGTTGGGGTATACTGATCTGGCATATGGACAGAAGAGGGTATGTATCTGAAATCTGAACCATTTTGGAAAGTCAATCACAAATATAGGTTGAAAGATCCTAGGAGGCCTGGTCATTATATATTAATAATTACTGGAAGGCTTTAACATTTTTTCGGATCACAGAGCCATCCCTGTGATGATCTATGGAAAGCACTGGAGCTGTCCCACAGAAAAATACAAAGGATTACAGTTTCTAAAACCTTCAGGGGTGTTGTGAAGATTAAAATGAAAAACCTCTATCTTAAGTACAGATCCTGGCACACAGTAAGCTAGCTTTTGTGAGCAATGCACTGCTCACCCTTCAGAAAGCCAACATAACAAGGAGACTCCAAATATACAGGCTAGAGTCAAAACAATTTTAAACACTCTTCTCAAGCCACTATAAATTCAAGTGGCGCCCTGTATCTATCGTCTCTTTTTCCGGATGAAAGCCCAAAAGCCCAGCACAGGTAGGTCAGGATAGCTTGCAAGGCTCCAAAGGTGCGGCCACCGCCTCCTGGGGCGACCCTCCCCGCAGCAGCAGCAACGGCCCCCGGCCCCGCCCCGCCCCCCCGCCCACCTCGGGCAACCCCGTACGCGCCCGCGGCGTTACCTAAACCTTGCTTCTCGCTCGGCAACCGAATCACCACGGGACCGGAAAAGGAAGGAAAGGTATTACGGCACTCGGAGCTCGAAGGGCGGGCGTGCGCAGCCTCCCTCAGCTCGGCCAGCCGTGGGGGATTCAAAGCGTCTCGGTCGCCATGAAAACAGGCCACACCCCAGCGAGCGCGGCCCGTGGCTCGCAGACGCGCAGGCGCGCGGTCCCTTCTGCGCATGAGCAGTGCAGCTCCGAGCCCGCCGGCCACAGTCTCTGGCGCCAGCTACGCCGTTGCCCCTGTCACTATGGCCCATTACAAAGTGAGAGAGGCGCGGCGCGGCTGGGGAGTACGGGCGGTAGTCAGCAGCGGGTCGGCCCGGGAGGGAGTTGGGGCGCGCGCGCCGGCTTGGGGCCCTGAGGCAGAGAGGCGGAGGCGGGGTTGCCGAACTCCCGGCGCCTTCTTCCTGCTCCGGCCCTCGGGCTTCGGTCTCTGACCAGCGGTGTCTTCTCAGGCCGCCGACTCGAAGCGCGAGCAGTTCCGGAGGTACTTGGAGAAGTCGGGGGTGCTGGACACGTTGACCAAGGGTGAGCATGGGCCAGAAAAGGGTGCCCCGCGCCCCGCAGCGCGGCGCCCCGAAGGGCTGTGGCGTGCGCGAGGAGGGGACGGGGAAGGCAGCCCCGGTGCGGAGAGCGGGCACGGGGTCAGCGGGACTGGCGCGCGCAGGCGGCCGGCCGGGCGGGCTCGTTCACACCACACTCCGCCGGAGCGGAGCGAAACTCTCGCGGCTATGCAAAGTCTCCAACTTGCGTTGCCTTGCCTTGAGCAGCCGCAGTGGGTATGTTTTAAGATCTTGAGCGCTCAAGCCCTCTTCGCCCTCCAGGTTTGCAGTCTTTAGAAGCTTAAGGAACAAATTACCCCGAACAAGAGGCAGTTTGAAAAATCATCCAATTTGAATGTGGGCCATAAAGTAGCTGAGTGAGACTAATTTCCAAAGTAGACGACTCATAGTTTGGTTGTGGCTTTTCGGTCCCTGGGCTTTGTAAAGGATTACCTTGTAAAGATTTGAGGGCACATCAAAATGGTTATGTTGTTCACACTAATGACAAAAATTTACATCAGGCACAGCGATACAGGCTTGTAATCCCAGCACTTTGGGAAGCTGAAGGAGGAGGACAGGTTAATGAAACCCTGCCTCAAAATAAATACAATGGGATTTAGTAGGACTGGGGTTCGATCCTTAGTGCTGCCCCCCTCCAAGGAAGTTTCCTCTTACACTGTATTTCTTCCTTCGTGTTGGAGAAACAGGTAAGGAGAGGAGTAAGGTGCTTAAGGCAGTATTCCAAGAGATAGTGAAGACCTGCCTACTTCAGCAATTCAGCAGTAATTGGAATGTCTGCTGTGGTAACATTCACTGGAATTTTCAAGGGTGTTAAGTGGAATTGCTGGCAGAGAGTAAGACATGGGTCTATGTGAGAATAGGAAGTCTCTGAGAAACAATTTGGTGACTTCTGTTAGGATAGAAATAAAGGTTAGGGGAAAAGGCTGGGAGAACATCTTTTGGATCTCAGTAGGAAGCTGGGCTTTAAGTTTCCATGCATGGGCAGGCTGGCAGTTTTCAATTGCTACCTACTTAGGAATCGGATACCGTACCAATGCTTGTGCAGATGTACCGTACCATGTTTGTGCAGATAACTTTCAGCAAACAGTAAGGATCTACTTGTGAAAGCTAGTGTTAGTTAACACGTGCCTGCATTCCCTGAAGGAAACCCCACACTTTCATTTCTCTTATTTAACCATTTTATTTAGGTATCTGGTTTAAACCCCAGGACAGTTGGAGGGGAGGGAAAGCCCTAGTGATGTCTGTCTGTAACCCCAACACTGTGAGGCTGAGGCAAAGGATTGCAAGTCCAGCCTGGGCAACTTAGCAAGACCTTATCTTTAAAAAAAAAAAAAAAATCCTGTTATGAGTTTGTACCCTCCTTGGTGAAATGGATAATAAAGAAGTTCATGGTGTTAGCTAGTGGTACATGTTAATGATGAAAGCCTAGCAAGATTAGGGGATAGTGTATGGCATTTTATTTGGTGGTGGTAGGGCTCTCTTACAACTTTTTTTTGCGGGGGAGTACTGAGAATCAAACTCATGCTTGCCAGGAAGGTACTGTACCACTGAGCTATATGCCCAGCCCACTTACAAAGTAATTTTTGAGCACAGATTTGAATGAAATAGTGTAGGATGTTAACAGTTGCAGGAAATACAGGTTAAGTGTCCCTAATCTGAAAATCTGAAATCCAAAATGCTCTAAAATCTGAAATTCTTGAGCCCTGATATGATGCCAGAGGTGGAAAATTCCACACTTTGACTGCATGACATGTCAGTCAAAATGGAGGCACACTAGAAACCATGTGTAAAACATTTTTAAGGTGTGTGAAGCATAAATTGTCATCTCCCAACTATCTCATATATGTAAATAGTTTAATAGTCTGGGAAAAACTAAAATACCTTTGTCGTAAATATTTTGTTTATTTATTTATTTATTTTTATTTATTACATTTTTTTATTTATTGTGTGTGTGTGGCCAGCTCAGCCCACCAGGGGGCGGGGCTGGCTGGCATGTGGTGCTGGGGATCGAACCGCGGTCCCTGTGCTTTGCCAAGCTTGTTTCAAGTAGGTGCTTTAGACCACTGAGCCATCTCACCAGCCCCTGTCGTAAATATTTTGGATACCGAATCTGTTTAAGGTGAGAGTGGCTGAAATGGAGTGAAAGCTAGAGTGGTAATAGGAAGGACAGTGACAGTTGTAGGAGATAAGTGACCTCAGAGAAGATAGAACTCCTTCATGATGCCAGGCCTGGTGGGCCATGCCTGTAATTAGAGCACTCAAGAGCCCTGAGGCAGGAAGATTGCTACAAATTAGAGACCAGCATGGGCTACACAGTAGTGAGTTCAAGACCAGCATGAACATAGTGAGACTCTGCCTTTTTTTTTGGTGGAACTGGGGATTGAACTCAGTCCTTTGCGCTTGCCAAGGAAGCACTTATTCCACTGAGCCATCTCCCCGGCCCCGAGACTGCCTTTAAAAAAAAAAAAAAAAAAAAATTCAGGAGAGATTGGAAATCCCTGGAGGCTTTTTTCCTTTCCTTAGACATCTACCTTAATGTCTAACCACCTTAGATTTCTAGTATCTGTTAACAACATACTATCTAATGGTAGGATTTGAAATTTGATTTTCAGCTTCAAACACAGGCATCTTAACAAATTTATACTTTTATGCAGCTATTTCCAACAGGATTTGAAACTGCTTATAACATTAAAACACTGGAAGAGGATGGCTGAAGTTAAAGATGATAAATCATTTAGGAGAAGAGGCATTTTAGTAATTTTGAGCACTATATCAACCTCTAAAAGCCCTGGCTGCTAAGAGAAAAAAGGGGAACATAACTGGGTATGGAGTTCTCCTTGTCTGATTAAAATGATGTCTAGCTAGGTGTGGTGACATGTGCCTGTGATCCCAGCACTTGGGAGGCTGCGACAGGAGGATAGTTTCAAGTTTGAGACCAGCTTGGGCTACAAAGTGAGCTCAAGTCCAGCCTAAACTGCATAGCGAGACCCTATCTCAAAAAGACCAAAATAAATGAAAAGTATACTGATCTGTAGAAAGCACAGGAAATTTAACATTTATATTATGTTTTGCAATTATCAACCTTGTCAGAATGACTGAAGATATTTAGAAGCTGAAAGGAGTAAGGTGGGAGAGGAGGAAAGGTTAATGAGAGTATTAATGTCCACATCTTATAAAATTAGGAATAAGTAGAGATCAGTGGAAGTGAAGATACAGGCTTGAGCATATAATTTTAAAAACTTAAAAGAGGGCTAAACAACAGACATTGAAAGAAGAGGCAACGATGAGAGACAAGATGGTGGTATAAAATACCAATTTCTCAAAAACCAATCGTGAGGGCTGGTGAGATGGCTCAGTGGTCTAGAGCACCTACTTAGAACAAGCTTAGCAAAGCACAGGGACCACCATTCAATCCCCAGCACCACATGCCAGCCAGCCCCGCCCCCTGGTGGGCTGAGCTGGCCACACACACACACACACACACACACACATAAATAAATAAATAAAAAAGTGAATATATTTCAATGTAAATTGTTAAAAAGTAGTTGCCCATCTGATTCTTTAATATTGCCTATATTATCTTAAATTATTAAAACTAAAAAGGAACACAGAAATTAGTTGAGGACTAATTCTTTGGGATCTAGAGCTAAACTCCCCCCCCCCTCCCCTGCCCACCATCTCAGCGGGGCCAGGCCGGCACAGTAGGCCAGGGCATGGAACTCTGAGCTATTTGGCCAGCCCCCTAGATGGACACTTTTTAATGTGTAGTTATGTTTTTTTGCTTTATTAGATTTTTCAAATTTGGAAGTGGTTAATAATTGGTTTAGAGAGATTTTATCTGAACAGTAAATTCCAGGAGGAATTTGTTGACCAGGAGACAAGCAAAGGAGTGCTCATGTGAGCTAACACAAGAAAATTGCTCCCTCCTCTAGTGTTAAGGTGGATTTGAGGATGTTGATTACTTGTAAAGTGGGTGGTGGGTTCACAATGTGTGTGAAACTTCACTCTCAAACATTCTGAATTGGAACCTTATCCCAGTTAAATACCATAGCCCTACTAGTTTTTCCCCTAAATTTTTTATCTTTTTTTCCATACCTGTATCACCCAAGTGCAGGTCACTATCTTTTGAAACTGGATAGTCACAAGAGCCTCTGATATTGTTCCTGCCATTATCCTTGTCTCACTTCAGTCTTCCACACACAGCAGGCAAGAGTGATCCTATCACTTATCTGCTTAAAACCATTTAATCTTGTCTGTTCTTAGGATCAAAGCCCAAGTTTGCATGACTCCCCCACAGCCTGGTCCCTCACCACCTTTCTGGCTACATTATCCACAATTCAGTGCAGCTGTACTGAAATGTCAGCGCCTCAATATGTTCTCATGCTCTGGGCCATCTCATTTTATCCAGAACACTCATCACTAGCCTCAGGTCTTTCCCTCCTTGTAGGAAGCCTTTCTCTTGTCCTACGTTTAGTTAAATATTCTTTCAATATGTCCAGTAGCCTACTATCCAATATTGCTGCCTCATAGTCTTTGTCTAGCACCTTGCTTATCCTTTGTAATTGACCTGTAAATTCAAATGGGAGGAGGGACCTGTTCTGTTTTGCTCACCACTACATGGATAGTCATAGCAATGTGTGTGGCATATAGTACACACTTAGTATTTACAGAGTTATGGAATATAATTTCAGCAATTCAAAAAATTTTTTTTTAATTTTATTTATTTATTCGTATGTGTGTGTGTGGCCAGCTCAGCCCACCAGGGGGCGGGCTGGCTGGCATGTGGTGCTGGGGGATTGAACCGCGGTCCCTGTGCTTTGCTAAGCTTGTTCTAAGTAGGTGCTTTAGACCACTGAGCCATCTCACCAGCCCAGCAATTCAAATTTAAGACTTTTAATTGTTGCTTTTTCTGCTTTTTGATTTGCAGTGTTGGTAGCCTTATATGAAGAACCAGAGAAACCTACTAGTGCCTTGGAGTATCCTTTTTATCTTCGGAGTCAGAAAAAGGCCTTGTTTTTTTTTTTTTTTTTTAAATTTTATTTATTTATTTGTGTGTGGCCAGCTCAGCCCACCAGGGGGGCGGGGCTGGCTGGCATGTGGTGCTGGGGGATTGAACCGCGGTCCCTGTGCTTTGCTAAGCTTGTTCTAAGCAGGTGCTTCAGACCACTGAGCCATCTCACCAGCCCAAAGGCCTTATTTTTGAAATGGTTATTTTTCTTTGGGTTTTTTGTGGTTGTGTTGTTGTTTTGAGACAGGGTCTCACCATGTAGTTTAGGCTATCTGGCCTTGAACTCATGGAGTTTTACCTGCCTCAGCCTCCTGAATGCTAGGAATATAGCCACCCTTGGCTTCCTTTGAGAATGGATGGTCATGTCATCTTTGGGTAAATATTGATGGCTGTATGGGGAATTCTGGCGGGAATATTGATGGTACTCTTGGCTACTTAGCTTCATTCAATTCTAAGAACTAAATTCTTAACAGTGATTAAGTTTTTTAAAGCATCACTTAGGAGCTGCTACCCCAGAAAATCCAGAAATTGAGCTGCTTCGCCTAGAATTGGCAGAAATGAAAGAGAAATATGAAGCTACTATAGAAGAAAATAAAAAACTGAAAGCAAAGGTAAATTTTTAAAAGGAATTCATTTAAAAATAATTTCATCTCTACTATCTGATGACAACCTCACTAAAACAGACAGCTGAGTAAGGAGGAGGGGCAAGTACCAGGCTGAATCAAATGCAAGGCAAAGTTAGGCCCCATCTAAAAAATTGAAAGAGAAGCTATACCAGGACAAGCAAAGTGTGGTTAAGAAGAGGTTTTCTGGGAACCTGCATCAACAAAAAGATGGAAATACTGTTTAATGCTGCTTATCAGCAAATGGTTCTAAAATTCTCAATAGTTTAGGTCAATATTGGGTACCTCCTAGCACTGTGCAGTACACAATGTATACTGTTGTATGTGGTGGTCCTGGGCTAACAAATTTAAAGAATTACACTCAATTTTTCTAGTGCTGAATTTTTTGTTGTTCTTGTTTAAATATCCATGAGAATTTTCATAAACTTCAAATGATCAATTCTTAAGACTTGGAAGATGAATCACAATGTTTTATGTTACTGCAGGTATTTTTTGTAATGTGTTTTATCTTCTCAACAACTGAGATACATGAAACAGGCCATGTTATAGATGAGGAAACTAAAGCATAGTGAATTTAATACGCTTTTCTAGTCTAACAGCTGTTTGGAAGAACACAAATTCTAGTCTAGTATTCTTGTAAGGATTCACAAATTAGTCTAAAAGAAATACCCTAAATTACCTACGATTCCACAATGTAGAAGTGCTGGTTAACTCCTTGGTACCTTTTAAGTAAGACATTAGTTTCCACGGACTGGCCATATATGGCATAAAACATGGTATATATAACCCTTTCTACTTTTTAGGGGAAATTGCAATTAACTTTTTGGTAGAAGGAAAGAAAGTTCCTTACCATAAGCCACAGCATCTCTGGGAGACAATAATTATATTGTATCAAGTATTTAAACAGCTGAGCCATTGACTGAAAATTATAGCTTCCCAGTAATATTAAAGGTGATCTGAAAGGGTCTTTTCTTAGGTTTGATTGTATTAAAATCTTAAATCATTGAATGGTTTAAGCAGCATAGGTACAGAAACTGATTACTGATTCAAGAACTAAATTGAATATAGTCTCATGTTAAGATTTTTACCCAATTTAGAATAAAATTCACTTAAACTCCTCTCTTTGCCCCATAGCTTGCTCAGTATGAACCACCTCAGGAGGAGAAGCGTGCTGAATAGGATTCTTCTCAGTTGAAAAGACAATGAAAAATGGTTTTGTATGACTTCACTAGTTTGTATAGTATATAATCCTTTCTGAACAGATGCTATAGAACTTTTAATATGTTAAATTCATCTCTCACATTTAAATGTTATAAACGCATATACTCAGAATCACCAATAAAAACTCAATACAACTTTCTTTGGATCTTAAAGCAGGACAAATATGGGGCCAAATTAAATTCTGAAGAAACCTAAACAGCGATCTAATTCATTACCTTAAAAGACATTCTGTTAGTCTGATTGTGAATAATCCTACTGATTAGATGTTACCCAAAGACGTTTAGTGTGGAGCTGCTCCTTGGTTTAGTTCAGGATATAGCATAGGTACAATCATACTTTACAAGGAAGGTAATAGTGTTTATAGTCCCTGTACTCAACTGGAGGAATCTGTGTGACACACGATGCTTTTGCATGGGTTCCCATGAATTTTCTGCTCTTATTTATATAATGCGGAACAAGTAACTCTTCTTTGCCACCACTTTGCCTTAGATAACTATGTGTGTGCCAGTTTGAACTCTGACACCACTGTTTTCTTCTATGCAATCACGCCCTGTTTGATAATGTTGCCTTGCTTTGCTGTGTACTTTAGTGGGGCCTAGTTGCTCATTAGCCTTTGTGTGTTGTTCATTTTGCTTAATAAAGAAGTTATCCTGATTGTGATTTATGTATCGTTAAACAGGATCACACTGTTACCCTGCCTTACTTAGTTGCTTGGTTAGACAGAGGTAATGTAATGTTCTGGGTTCATACACTATATAATAGAGCTTTTTTCCTTCCAAGTATTTTTCTAGCCTTGAATTCATTTTATCTTCACTATCCCTGTGAAGTAGGTGGGCATACATGAGGGGAGGCTGGGTGCTGAATTTTTAGGCCAAAGACTGATATTAATACAATTATTTACTAACTGTAGAACTTTGGGCATGTTAACCACTCTGAGATTTACTTTCCTCATCTGTTAAATGAGAAAAACATCTGTGCTGCCTACCTCACAGGGTTGTTGTGAGGGTCAAATGAGAATATATGTGAAAGATTTGTGGTAAAGCACTATATTCTTGGTTTTTAGTCCTTTTTCCTTTCTTTTGGAAGACTTGCTGTCAGATGCGTTCTATTGATGACTTATTTCCCTCACTGGTAGATTAGCATTTTAAAGAAAGCATTCGTATTTCATGTATTAGGTCCCTAGTGTTAAGAAGCCCTGTCATTATTCTGAGGATAAAGGGCTGAGCATACACAAGGCCCTGGGTTTGGTCCCCAGCTGTGCAAATTTAACCCGCCAACTAGCAGATGCAGTGAAAGCTGGTGTACCCAGCAAAGGCACCGAAACCTGCTTAAAATTGTGACTAAGTCATTTTAATCAGTCATGATTACAGCAATGTGGCAATTGTCTCTCTTCCCTAGTCACAAGTTTGTTTTTGGAGGCATGCCAGAAAGTACTGAAGAACATTCACTTGGATACATTTTTCTTTTCCAAATTTGAATGCCTTCTACACGGACAGTAGTGGGCTAAGTGCTGCCTGTGATAAGGTGAATGATTTGAAGTAGGTTATAAAACATATATATAAACAATATAAGGTGGGTTAAGAGCCCTAGGACACATGACCCATGAAGGTTGTGGAAGATAGGGAGGACCTGGCTTCTTTAAGCAGTTGATGTCCTTTTTTGTACATACAGACAAGCAAACATTCCTGGAAGCCATCCCTCATTTGCTCTTCTCTCATTGGATTAATATTAATATTTATGCCAGTAAGTCAGTGACTCCCTTGTACCATCCTTTTGGACAGCAAGGCAACATATAGTTTCGATAATCACGTCTAGGTGGAACTGACCTGCTTCAACTGTCATATCAGCTAGAGTGATATTCAGGGCCAGCCTGGCTTCTGGAGGGTTCTTCAACATTTCTATCATGGATGTGAGTGAATTCTGTATTCAACAAGATGCTCAATGGATTAAAAAATGGATTTCCTCATTTCAGTTCCTGCTGCACTTTAGTTGCTTTATCTGTAAGCTATAGATTTCATATCTTACGCACCTCACAAGGTTGTTGTAAGGATCAAATTAAATATAATGGATATAAAAATGCCTTGCAAAATGTGAAAGACTGCATATAGAGCAGAGGGTAGTAATGACATAAAATCAGAAGGGCTGCTGGGTAGACTGTATTGGAATTTTAAAATGATTATCAAAAAAGATTATCAACCTAAAATACACAAACTGTTGGGCCTACCCAGTTTAAATGTCAAGACTTACTATATTTATGTTAGAAATGCAGTTTTCTAAAAGGTTATGTAGGATTGCTGACAGTACTAGTTCAGTGATTATCAATGTGAACCACTTACACTCCAAGGTACTTCAAAAACATTCCATTTTGTAAAGCATCAAAAGAAATACTGTCTAGGTTTAAATAGCTGCCCTGAAGGCTTATTGGTTAGTATTGTTCTGTGGGTGTCAAACATCTGAAAGTGGCTGACAAGTCTGGGATAATGACCAATAAGGAAAGGGGATAAGTCTGGATTGTCCCATATGGAGGCCACTAGCTACATGTGGACATTAAGTAAAAATTCAATTCCTCAGTCATGCTAGCAACATTTCTAGACTGAATTTTTGGCTATCATGTTGAAGAGTACAGATACACAAAATTTCTGTCATCACAGAAAGTTCTGTTAACCAATAACAGAAGGATAATAAGGAATAGTTGAAGGAACTGAAGCTGTTTAGTGTGAAAGAAGACTATCCTAGTGGGTATTACGTTGATGAAGACATCAACTTAATATTTGAAAGACTTATGAAAAGGATGAAGGTAACTCTGATTTTGTTGCATTTGCGGCTGTTGGCTTGAATAAGAAAGTTATAAAACAAAATTACAGCGGGATGTCTGCCTTTTGAGATGGTAAATTCTCCTTTCGAACTACAACTGGCCCTCTGGTTTTGCATCTGTGGATAAACCAATCACGGATCAGAGAGATTTAGGGAAAACTATTGAATACGTACAGACTTTTGCATCTTGTTATTCCCTACATAATACAGTAGTTATGCACCTAACATTGTAATAGGATTATAAAGTGTAGAGATACAGAATATATAGGAGGAGGGTGTGCATTTATTGGGCCATTTTACTTAAGGAACTTGAGTAGCTTCCAGTCAGTTCTGGAAGCAATCCCCCATGAACACCCAAAGATAGTATGTAAATGCATTTTGCCAGGTGCGGTGGCATATACCTGGAATTCTAGCCCCTCTGGTGGCTGAGGCAGGAGGATTGCAATGAGTTCAAAGCTAGTCTGGATTACATAATGAATTCAAGGCCAACAAACTACATAGAGAGATCCTGGTTTAAATCCCACCCCTCAGGGGCCGGAGAGATGGCTCAGTGGAATAAGCGCTTCCCTGGCAAGGGCCTGAGTTCAATCCCTGGTTCCGCAAAAAGATCAAAAAAACAAAAAAAAAAAAAAAAAAAAAAAAAGGATTAGGTGCGTTCCACAAGTCTATCAATCAGAGACAAGAGGGTTGGGATAAATGACCTTTAAGGGAATGTTCTGCCTTTAACTTCTAGTTTCATGCACAAAGTTCCAGACCTGCATGAAAGTACTTTGCTTTCATAATCAAGAAACCTCTTTAGAAGACCAGGACCAACTTGCTTCTTTTTTTTTTTTTTCTTGTAAAACTGCTTTATTTTTTTGATGGAACCAGCGATTGAACTCAGGCCCTTGCGCTTGCCAGGCAAGCACTTACTCTAGACTGAGCCTTCTCCCAGCCCGTGAAACTGCTTTAAGAGGGTCCTTTTGTTACACTCCCAGTTCTAGAGACTTAAGGATGAAAATTCCTTTAGCTTTCTCAAACATATTTGATAAGGAGCATTTGCTTTGGTTTGCTTTTATTATACACTCCTTTGGTCTCTAGTCTGAGTATCATAAAAAATGTAGCGTTCTATGGGAGGGTGGGATTATTGGAGAATTAGACTGCCTGAATGAGAAGGAAGGGACATGGAGTGCTTGTGAGGTTAAAGAGGCAGCAGTATCCACTATCAACAATTTGCTGAAAGACGTTCTAGTTTGGCTGCATTGGCCTTTTGGTCTGGATCCTGCTACCTGCCTGAACAAGCTATTATACTGACCCATGGCTGCCTCTGTTGCTCTTGCCTTCTACTGGCTCCTCCTCCACATCCTCGCACGTCCCAACCTATCCTTCCTTTTGGATCTGATCAGATGCCACCTTCTTACAGATTTTCTCACCCTGCTAATTCCTCAGCATGTCATCATTTCATCTATAGTTTTCCCAGATAATATCTCGTATCAAGGCTACTTACGCAGAGGTTCGATCTCTGTTAATCCAAGCAATTTGAGAGCAGGCAGGGTCTGAGTTGGTTCCAGTTCTGTGCACGTTAGGTACCCACGACATCGCAGGCAGCAATAAATGCTGCTTGCGCGAGCACCGTGGCAGGAGCAGGGCAATCAGCTCTTCCCCCAACTGCCCAGCGAGTGTCTCCCTTTGCAGTGCTCTGGGGGAAGGGAAAGAGGATGGGAAGAGACTGCGAGCAAGGCGCGTGCGGGAAGGACTGCGGTGCGCGCGAGCTGGGCCCCGGACGCGCGCTGGGAAAGGCGCGGCGGGACCGCCCTCCTCGTGACTCCTCCTCCCCCCGCGGTGGCTGCAGGTCAGGTGATTCCGGGCACGTGATGGGGCGCCACCTACCCTGCTGCCTCTGAGTGGCATCCCGGACTGCCAATGAGAGGTCCGGCTCCGTCTCTGGCCCTATCAGAGCCGAGCTAGGAGGCGGACCAGACGACGGTGGCGGCGCCCGGGGGCGGTGGCAGCGGCGGCCTAGGGAGGCGGCGGCCTGGCCTGGCCTGGCCTGTCAAGGCGCGGGCGGCGGCGGCGGTCCAGCACCATGTCCCTGCAGTACGGGGCGGAGGAGACGCCTCTGGCCGGCAGTTACGGCGCGGCCGATTCGTTTCCAAAGGACTTCGGCTACGGCGTGGAGGAGGAAGAAGAGGAGGCGGCAGCGGCAGGCGGCGG